GCCATCTATGACTTCTATATGTATGGATTTAATTTTTTATACTACCCATATTCTATGGCTTATAACAAATTCTTCATCTAAGAAATAAGTTGAGGCTCTTGAGTTTCTTAAGATAGAGGCATTATAATTATTAGGTTTTAAATGCATATTTATTGTAAAATAAGAAGAAGGTTCTGAAGAAAGGATAGGACCTTCATTTGTACAAGATTCTAGCTGCATGGTTCCTATTGCAGCTAGATAAATTTATTTTTTGAAATTTTTTCATCCTTAACAATTGTACTCCTCATTTTGTAGTTGCATTGTTTCTTTGGAAAATACAAAGTCAATTACTTAATTCAATGTCAAAGGATCAGATAAGTTGAGTATGAATTTCTTTACCTCATATTGTAATCTTTAGAAAAATTAGCTGATAAGGGCAACAACATCCTATTTGATATTAATCACTAGTTGTCAAAATTATGAAGTGTATGATGTCATTGATCGATTGCCTTGTCACAAGATACAAATCTTATTGGTTGTAATACAAATTGTATCATGTTTTCTATACATAGATCAAAACCCAGCCAAAAAAGTCTCTTAATTATTTAATATTGAATCTCATCATTTAAAAAAAGATAAAAACAATAATAATGCCAAACTTTAAAAAAGTGTATCAATGAATCTAACTTGTGATCTTGAGATTGGATAGCTTTGGGGTTGAAGTTCAATCATGAGTTGTACTTGATTAATAAATCCTCAAAACTTAAACCTTGTGCCATCAAACTTCTTGAATAAGGTAGCTTTGGATTCTCTAACATTGGAAGGATGTTCTACTATAGCAAAAAGGATGTGATTTTGTATAGATGTTGAAGTGGTTTCAATTATTTTTGTATCTTAACTTCCATCCATTTTTGTTATTCTTGGTGGTCATAAACTGAATTGATGCATTGTAAGCATCAATTCCTTGAATTGTTCTTACATTTGTATCATTGCACTTTTTATTTCAAGAAGCTTTGCCATAATAATACTTAAAGAAAAAATATCAAATATTGCTCAAGATAAGCAAAAGAGAGAGGACTTGAGAATAAAAAAAATACTAAAAATAATATTAGTTTAAAAGAAAAAAATGCTCAACTTCTAATATACTTATGTCTTATTAAAAAAAATTTCACTCTGAATCAAGAAAAGACAAAGTTCTAATATTGTAAGTATATTCTTGTCAATCTTATTTATTATGTTCACTTTTTATATTTCTATTTAGATTTCTTTGAAAGGTTTTTAATTAAATTATTATTGATTATTACTTATAATCTAAATAGAAATATAAAAAGTGAACATAATAATTTATCAATTATAAATACATAAAATAAAATTTATTATAGAAGGATGAAAGAATGGCCTTGATTTTTATCATTTGTATTGTGGAATGATCAAATAATTTATAGTTTAGTAATAGAATATATGCCTATTGAGTTCATGACAAGTTAAATACATATTATGCTAATTAAAAAAATATATCAACTTGGATTGTATTACTATAGAAAGATAGATTGACAAAAAAAAAACTTTTAGGATCACCTTTTGTCAATTATGCCACATGTCTTTGTAATAGTCAAAATACTTTAAGTGGCATTTCAAACTAGTATGAAGTTTATTAAAACATTTTTGAAAAGACAAATGTTAATAATCTTTTAGAGCATTATCCTTATGATTATTCAATTGATTTTTAAGAAAGATCTTAATCCCTATTTGAACAATCTATAACTTATAAAATAAGATATATTATCTATTTCTATAAAAAAAATTACATATCTCATAAAATATCCTAGTATATATAATGTCTTGTATGACTCAAGAAGAATTACATAGAACATGGAATAAATCTTTATACAGTTTGATAGGTTTAAACAATTTGTAATTAAATTTATTTGTTTGCAAACAAAAAATGATTAAAGTCTATAGTAATCCAACTTATTAGAAAGACAAATAGCCTTAATATTAAAATAAAATAATTATTTCTTATTAGTAATGTGTAATCAAGGTTATTCCTTAAAACAATCATTTGCATTGATCTTTCATTATTCTTAAGCTTCTTATAATTGTACCAATATTATTAGATGTAGTTTTAATAAATAATTTTTTAAATCTTTCGCCAAAAGATTATCAACTTTTGAAAAGTAAAAAATATCAAATTATAGATGATAACCATAGTTATTATAAAAAAGTGATTGTTTAGTAAAAGAATGTATCTTATTATTATTATCAAAATTTATTAATGGAAAAATAATTGTCCAATCAACTTAATGGTAGTTGATGGTATATTTAAAATATTACTCAAATAATTAATTCACTCATTTTGATTGTTTATGGATTTCAAAATAAAAGATTAAAGATAGTTTTATATCTATTTTCAATATCTCAAGAAGATTTTTTCAAAACCTAGATATAAATTTATTTTTTTATTTGATATAATATATTTTACTAATTCATAATAGCAATAAATATTATTAAAAAGAATCTAGATGTTCTTTTACATATGATAGATTTGTATAAAATATGTCATCTTAATGAAATGATCTACTATCACAAATATAAAATCAAAAGAGTTCAAGATAAAAAAAAAATATTATAATATAATCCAAAGAAACAGAAGACCATGGTTGTTCTAATATAAATAGTGGTTAGAAAAGCTCATAAATGCAATGACAAGAAATTTTTTGCTTGTGAACAAATATCTTATGATTGTAAAAAGGCTTGAATTGCCTTTTAAATTTTAAGCCACCAAAAATTTCTTAAGATTATTTATAAGATCTTGTTGTATTAAAAATATTTTAGAACTCAAAGATTGTAATGAGCTGAAAAATTGTGATAAGTTTAAAAATCATGTAATAGTAATTTACCTTCTAGAATATATAAATATTTTCTAAAATAGAGAAGATTGTTTTAAAATTCAAACTTAGAAGTATCATACAATTTAAAAGAATTATTCTTAATACCAAGCATAAGATAATATGAGGACTTACTTGATTGAGGTTAATCAATAAATATTGAATCAACAATCAATGTTCATTTTATTTTTCAAAGATGAATTTTCTTTAATTTTTTTTAAAAAAATATTATTAATTAAAGACTACATTACTTTCTTTTGTTATAAAATAAAAAGATCTAGAAAGGACATCTAAAATTTTTTATTGGTTTCTTGGCCAATAAGTAATATTAAATTCAAACCTTGCCAAAGACATCTTTTAACAAACTTAACAACAATTTAAAACTTATGTCAACATAAAATATTTGAAATTATTGTAATTTGTACAAACAATCACTTGATTGGAAGTACTTTTTAAATAATCGCCTTATTCTTGAAATGAATCCATAATTATAAAAAATTCTTTATTGTGGATTTTGTAATTGATATTGACTATTGAAATTTTTCTTGAATGAAAAGCTATTAAGTGAAATTTGTCATCTCTTTCTACTTATGACAATACTACACTTAAGACAAAATATAATGCAATTTTTTCCAAAAAAAAATATCTTGGAAAAGTCAATACAACATAAGATTGGTGTTGTAATAAATAGTATCATTTATAACTTGGTGTAATACTTAAAAGTTACAAAATCTTGGTGCAATACTCAAATTTTGTAACTTATAAGTATTGCACCAAGATTTTACTTGTTTATTTGATATTAATCATGATTATTTTTTAAACTATCTAGATAAGCAATATCATAAATAATTTAGCTCACAAATAATTAAGGCAAAACAAGCTAGTTATCACATATTGTAGGAATTTTTTTAAAACAACAAAAGTAAAGAAACATGAATTGTGTGCCATTGTTGAATATCATAACAATCCAAAGTGCAAATGGAAACAATAAGAAATAAACTTTAGGAACAAACATTCATATCAAGTTGTTGTGTTTTTTAAATAGATAAATTAAAACAAGCTCAATGATGTACACTTATAACAAATTAGAAATAATATTATTGTTGCACTAGATTTTATTCTTACTTGCAAAAACAATTTAGCAACATCAAAACTAGTGGAAGATCTTGCTTCTTCAATACAACAAACATCCCTTATGCACAAAACTTAAAAATAAATGTAAGAAAATAAGAAAATAATAAAATAAAATTACACCCACCCACAAACATCCCTTAAACATGAAACTTACAAATTTATGTTAACATAAATAAATAAATAAATTACACCCACACACACAAACATCATGCTTCAGCAACTCAAGACCGAACCAGGGTTATCATAGGAGACGAGTCATGCAGCATAGAATTCAACGAAAACGGCGCCCGTATCTCACACGTCTGCAGATTCATTCATTCAGGAGATGTTCCCGAGGGCATCCAGAAACCATGCAGGAAAAACACACGACCCTATCACCCTCCCACCCACATGCACACACTAAAACACACAAAAAAGCAACGAACGTGTGGGTCTTACCGTCGACGAAGCAGCCTCGCAGGACGCGGAAGGAAGGAAGGAAGAAAACTGGGGGACTCGTCGTCGGCTGGGGAAACGACGATGGTCGGTCTCCGTCAACAAGGAAGGATCCGAATCCGTGTCAGGGGAAGAGAACGCCAGTCAAAATGCCGCAACCGATGACTGGCATGGCGAAGTGTGGTGGCTGAATGGAAGGGGAGGGATTCCCTTTGGTTTCGGTTGCGAGGAGGTAGCCCGGTGGGGTATCCCGAACTCTGCAGCAGTAATTCGATGGAACTTTGACTGGACGATGCTTTTAGCGTTCCATTGGGTGTTCCTTCATGGTAAGGTTACCGGCACGTGGTGAGCTGCAATGCGGTCGTTGAGCACCCACCACCACGTGGTGTGTGTGTGTGTGCACTGTCGATTCGGGTCCGTTTCATGCCCACCATCCTGGATGGATCCCTGTTGCTACAGTCGCAAAGTGTGCCGAGTTGGGAATTCGATGATGCCGTGGTATTATTACGTATTCTGGAATGGACTTCGGAAGTGGATTCTGGGATAGGTGGGTGACTGAGTGAGTGAATGAGTGAGTGGGTATAGAGGGCTTGGGATGGGGGCGGAGCGGGCGCGGGTCGAAGGTCTAATCGCGTCTTGTGGCACCTTTAGTTGCTAGTTTCTTATTAAGGAGTGATTGTGAGCTGGCTCATGATATTCTGGGCGTTAGAGTTTTCGTTTATCTGGGGGTATTGCGAATTAGGTGTGGGACTTAGAGTGTGTGTGTTTTTTCACAGTGGAGGTGGGTGGTGCCGCACGAATGCGGGTCAGTTACAAGCGCCTGTGCAAAGTGAGCACTGAGTCGGAACTCGGTTTGAGTCTCGTTCATTTTTTTTCCGGAAGTATTTTGTCAACTTTTCGTGGATCAAGTCGAGTGCGCTTAGTGCCTACCTTGGGCTTTGTACTACAGATCCATGCGTTTTGTGGGCTCATGCACGGTTCATGTTTGGTGACAGCAAGTGTTGATGATTTGCGTGGCACTTTGCTCGAGCTGTAGCTGAACGCTGCTGTTTTCTTGCTCTTAGGTTTCTGAAGCTTTTGGAAGGTGTGACAGCCCTTGCATCTGTCTGTGGTTCTTGGTGTGGCTTTTCCGGTAGAACCCAATTTTTATATGTATTTTTGGATGAGAGGGATTTGCTCCGATTGCATCTGAACTTTTTCACGTTTTCTTTTGGTACTCTCACAAGCCGAGCATTTCAAAAGTCGCAAGATTTGGCTCAATGTGACAAATTTATACGATTGGTTCATTTTCTTTTCTTTAATTGTAGCGACTTGGGGGAATTATTTGAAAGCAATTTTCTGTCCTCATGTTATTGTTTTTTTCGCTGTTGGAATGGGAGGGTCCTGTCGTCCGCCTGCTCAGATTTTTGTTCGAGTCCGAGGTGCGTGGGTTGGTTCTGCCGATTTGGTTATGCGATTCTTCCACTGAGCGGAACAGAATTAACTAATTTTTGGAAACGTAGTCAACTCTGTCATTTTTTAAATTTTAATTTAATTTTAAATTTATTTTCTTGCTTCACTTGCTGCATTAGGCGCCTCTGCTCAGGATCACCTTCCGTCTTTAGTTCTTCTCTGTGGGGATTTTAATTCACTTTTTGCGAACAACCATTATAAGATTCCCGTGTTTTTTCTGTGCTGCTGAACACGTCCTTTGCCGCTATTGTAGCAGCTTTTTTGGAGGAATAACGGGACTTAAGCAACATTTGGTTAGGAAGTGATTCGTCACGAAGAGTCTGAAAGATGGCGGACAACGCTCTTTTAGAGCGTCGCAAGAGAAAGTGTAAAGACATGCGCCTACCCGACTACATTTTAGACTACGAAGGCACTCCTGGAAAGGATGAGATACCAGCAGTTCCCAAATCTCCGATGATCGTCTTCGTGAATTCGAAAAGTGGAGGTCAGCTTGGTAGCCTCATCATCAAGTCCTTCCGCGAACTTCTAAATCCCAAACAGGTCTTTCTTGAGAATCAGACCATCTGTTTACGTTCACCTATTGCCGTTATTGCTGCTGATAGACTGAGTGTAAAAAAAAAGCCGTATGTTTTTGCTGAAGTTGTCTTATATTGAGGAGTTTTCAGAACTCAAGATATGTTTTGAAACTCCAGGTGTTTGATCTAGCTGTTGAGAAGCCTGAGCAAATACTACAGAAACTATTGGACCATATTGAGAAGCTTCAAGACAATGGAGATAAAGTTGCGAAGTACATTCGAGAACATCTGCGCGTAATTGTAAGCTTCTTCTATCATTCCAACTGTATTATGATTCTTTGTGATCTGCATATCGTGTCAACAAGCACTTCTGAGTATCTCTGGAAAAAAAAAAAATTAAAAAAATTAAAAAATGTATATTGGAGACTAATCGTCAAAGTTTTGATATCCTTGTTGACAGTCATAAACTCTTAAGTCAGTTAGTGGAGGCAGGGACATAGATATGCTGCTCAAGTTACTTTGGGTGGGCAGGTGGCAGGAGGGGATGGGACGGCCGGGTGGTTGCTTGGAGTAATGGGCGACATGAGGTTGGATGACCCTCCACCAATTGCAACAATGCCTCTTGGAACAGGAAACAATTTACCTTACTCTTTCGGATGGGTAAGTGTTCAGCCCTGTCCACCACCCACACGTGTTGGCTCATGCTGTGTTGAACTTAACCTCACATTGGTTATCCATGACGGTTTTTGGGTTGCAGGGCAAGAAAAACCCCGGCACAGATACTAGAGCGGTGCGGAGGTTTTTGAGGAAAGTTGAGCGTGCCACTCCCATACATGTTGACAGGTACTGTATCACTTTTCATAGCACTAAAGTGGTCGATTCTCAACAATGCTAGTCAAACCATAGCAATGAGGATGACAACCACCTGAATATATCTCAAAAGTATTGGAGGGCTTGGGATTGCAGTTGGCATGTAACGCTGTATATGGATGTGGAAAAAGACAATGATTCTTTGGAACCTGTGAAGCTTCCCCACTCATTACACTCTTTCCGTCGGATTGACACCGATCATCAGGCAAGTATGCCCAGACTCCTTTTGTCCACTGTACTGTGAGGTTACTGTTATCGTGAGATTGAGCAGGTTCTGTACTGCACTTAAGCACACGAATAACAGAGCTTAAATGGGAATTCACAGTCCCTTCGTGCAAGAGGTTTTATATCCAGAAATCTCTCTCTCTCTCTCTCTCTCTCTCTCTCTCTCTCAATGTATATATATATATATATATATATATATACACTTACTGGAGTTCCTCAATGTCCTCTGTCTAAGATGCGAAATAGTTGTCCCGTCTTCTTTTTCCTTATGTTGGAAATACTTGAAGTTGCAGGATAAACGTATCACTTTCCGGGGAGGGTTTTGGAACTATTTCAGTATTGGTGAGTGGAGCTGTGCTGTCAGTCAACAACTTTTATGGTCGTCTGAATCTCTAGTTTCATTATAACTGGGAATTTCAGATTTAATTGCATCAATGTAGTAGCAACGAAGTTCTGAAATTGTATTTTGAGCGCGTAGGAATGGACTCTCAAGTAGCATACCAGTTTCATTCTGAGAGACAAGCACATCCAGAGAAATTCAAAAACCAGTTTACTAATCAGGTTAATGATCATCTTCTTGTCCGTTCATGTTTGTTGAAGTTTCTAGACCCCTGTCCATGCATTGTGGCGTCACTCCTAAATGATTCGTGTATGCCGTTATTTAGGTTTGGCACTGTGGTGAAATTGGTTGATTTCCTTATTTTCTTATTATTTCGCTCGTTTCACTGCAGACTCAGTATGCGAAGATCACGTGTATGCAAGGCTGGTTTTGTGCATCTTGTGTTCATCCGAAATCCAAGTACGCACTGTGACATTATGTCATCACATTGTTTCGTGTCTGAATCCAGTTCCTGTTTCAAGTTGTTTCGGGAACAGGGTCACTAAGTTTCATGTTTTGCTACAATTTTAGGCCCGTGTCTTACCTGAGTCTTACCTTCCACGTTCAATATGCACCAAGTCTTTTTTGTACATCCTATTAGAAGGTAGACACTCATGGGATGTCTGCATTGTTATTAACATCAAATGTGTCTCAGTAGCTGTAATCGTAGTTTGCATAATGAGAGACGTGACGAAGCGAAGTTGTAAGGATAATGCTTCTGGGCTGATCACTGAACGGTGGCTTTTTAATGCAGAAATACCAATCACCTGGCGAATTTAAAAGTTGCTGGAAGAGGTGAAGCTTGGCAGGATTTGGACGTTTCTAGCAGGTACAAAGCACTCCCTTGTTACGAGAAATTTTATGGTTATCAACGTTGATCCCATTAAGGCTACATTGTGGCTGGTTCACAGTAAAGGACTGGAGGGAAAATGCCGGACATTGATCATGGTGTCCTTCATACATTTGTCACTGATGAAGTTCGTGTCAACCTGTTAGTTTATAATAACGCGCAATTTGGGATGCAGCATAAGGTCAATTGTGGTGCTAAATCTTCCCAGTTTTTCTGGAGGTCTCAATCCATGGGGCACACCGAGTGATCACAAATCCAAGAAAGTAATTTGCTACGATCACCCAAACTGAATTCAGCATATGATGCTCAGACGAGAGTCTAAAATGTGTTTGGATACATATTCACTGGGATATTTGTTTTCTGATAGTGTTTGAGTCTTGTTCAGCATGCTCGATGTTTCTGAATCTGCTTACTATATTCCTCTCAGCTGTCAAGCAGTGTGGGTATCGTCGTATTATTACTCATCTATCGTGCAAAGGTGCGCACCATGGTATGATTGCTTTTTGACAAGCAAGGCCATTGTTCTGTGAAAACAGAGAGGCCTCACCGCTCCATTTGTTGATGATGGACTTCTGGAGGTTGTAGGCTTCAGGGACGCTTGGCATGGAGCCATGCTCTTTGCTCCTAATGGGCATGGAGTACGCCTTGCACAGGTTGGTTGTGGTTCACTTCGATGATTTTTCCAGACTGTTCATTTCCTTATGCGTGTTAAGTGGATTAAGTATTACTTTGTAAAGTTACCAAATTATATGTACGTAAGAAATACCACAGTTTTTGCTAGAATGGAGTGGGAACTTTCTGAACTAACGAGAAGTATTTCTGTACTCAAAGGCACATAGGGTTAGAGTGGAGTTTCATTCCGGAGCGGCAAAGGAGGCATACATGCGCATGGACGGAGAACCTTGGTTGCAGCCTCTGCCGGAATCATCGAAGCCGACAGTGCTTGAAATCACGCAACTGGGGCAATCAGTTGTTTTAGTCACGGATTCTGCTACTGCTAAGTCGACTTCTGCTACTCCTTCATCGGTATCGTCATCGGAGTCATCTGACGATGACTCAGGAGTGAGACGCAAATTTGGGGCTGCATCGACGTTCCGTAGACATGAAACGGAGAATTAAACATTTGTCTACCTTGGTACGCAGTTCTATGAGCTTACTTCGAACATTTAGATTTTCTTCTGTTTGATCAGCATCCACATATCTGTAGTCCTTTGTGTACATCTGGAGATATGGAGGTCTATGAAGTGTGGTTTCAGAGTGAATTCGTGTGAAGTCGACACAGACTTTGGATTAGACTCTTATTCATTAGTTCACTTGAAATAAACAGACTGTTGTATAACTTATGTAGATCATTTCAAACAACAGATGATAGGTGATAACATTCATTAGTTGCATGCTTTAAATACAGCATGTATATCTCACTATTTTTTGTGCGACTGTGTAATAGCTTCCATATCTGCCACAGGATTACTGGTCATGACGCTAGTCTGCAAACGGTTTGTAGATCTGTAAAGAAAAAACTTGGGGGTGCCACAAAGAAGGTTGTAATATGACATTTAATCAATGGGTTTGGGAAGATTTTATTGAAGTGAAAGTGGTTGGTCTTGAGCTGCAAAACACAGCTCCTTTTGGATTCATATTAAGTGTAGTGTTTGTGTGGTTTTGGCACATGAATGGAGTCTTAGTGAGTGAGATTGTGGTCAAGTCGTTGAAATTGACAAACATGTCGATCATTCTCGAATGGGGAACATGCGATTCTGTTTTGTTTAAGTTTGTTTTTCACTATTGAATTTCTCACCACTGCCACAGATCTACACATACGTGATGGCGGTACACTTTCAAAAGCAATCCAGTGATAATAGTATCTGAAAATCGCAAAACACGTATGCGGCATAAACAACATTTATGTACAACTTTTCTAATTCTGGAGGTCCACCCAGAATTTTCTGATACATAGCCCTCAACTCAACTCCTATTCATTCGTCCTCTGCTCATCATCCATGCGTGTTGATAAGAATGGATGCCGAGTATCAAGCAATTGTTGGATTATCCTGAAATATTGACAGAAGGGTTTAAAGTTTTGAAAACAAAAAATAAAGTTATTTTTTATTTTTATTTTTTTGGCCTATCAGGTTACACATTTTTAATAAATTGTTTTGGTACTGGCAACTATTTGGATTTTCTGTTCATCCAGTACTGGGTACCTATTTCTATATAACCAGTGGCATGGATAATGTGATTTTTTGGAGAAAACAAACATGGATCAAATTGAGATGCTAATGAGAAAATCAAACATAAAAAGTATCCAAGGAATGTAACTTGCCAGGAGACAACATGAAGATGGGTTATAATTTCAGGAGATTATGAATTGATGTTATGAAGTATGAAACTCAATAGTCATGGACTCCACTTAAAAGTTATCTAACTTAGTCGTTGTTTTCTTTGTTTTTTGAATAGTTGAATTAAGAGAAAGTTTTATTATCAGAAAAATAGAAAGTAATGAAGGTAAGCATGTGTTGCCATTGGAAAACAGTAATTTTAATATTAATGATTAATAAGGGACACCGACAAGTGTTTGATTCTTTGTTTAACTATTAATCTATACTGGTTTTTTCAAAACATACTTCTCCATATTAGTCTCCTACGCTGAAACCCATAACTGAATACTTAATGGATTTTCTTGTTGAATATTAATTTAGTTTTACTAAAAAATTACTTCTCTTGGTTACTTATTTTGCACAGTTTCTCTGACCTCAAATTGGACTTGTGAGTCGCTGACTGAGGATATGTGTTGAAACAGTGCCAATTCAGTACGGGGCAGCACTTTATTAGAAGGAATTTGTCAAGGAGAGAGGTTCTCGCAAATTTTTTTCTGAATCCATCCTGTATTTTTGCGATAGGTTGTCAAGGGGAGTCAAGAATAGTTAAGGTTCCACAGAGAGTGCTGTTCGCTAAGTCACGTAATATCGATGGCAGAGCCTGGTTTGTCTCCGTTATCTCGATCGTCTCGTCGTGCAGCTAGACCTGGAACTCTGAGTTGTGATCCCGGCCGAGAACCTCTCTCGCTCTCCTTGTCTGCCTCTCAAAGAGTGCACCCACAAGCTCTCAGTTAAAGAGATCCTACTGAGGTTTGGGTTTTCAGTATCCCACGCAAAGAATAACTGGAGCCTACCCGTCGTCAGGTTCATACCATGAGAGCCCAGCAGAGGTTTTCAATTCTAACCTGGCATCAAATATAGCTTCTGGTTCCTCATCGGGTGCAGCACTTCATTTAACAGTGATTCCAGAAAATTTTGAGCAGGAGAGAATGCTTTTCAAGGCAGGCCTTGAAACTAGAGTTGCATTGGAGTAGACGGCAGCTGCTGCGACGTATGGTGCTCACAGGGGGAGTGCTTCGGATGGTGTGGACGTCCGGTGGTACTTTTGCTAGACTCCACTCCGCCTTAATGGTAAATATTTTTTCATCCCGCTGTCAATACTTGTACAGAATAGGTTCACCTGCATGAACACCGTTGCTAGTACTGTCAATGATTCCACGCTTCAAGGGGTGCATGTCCCTATGTCAAGTTATTAAACAAGCTGTAGTCGTGATTGCAGCCTGCAGCTAGAGAACTAAAAGAAACTGGCTGTGACGGTGGACGTTCGTTGATTCTTGAGGGCTGTCATATATACATTTTAGGGAATTTTTAAATTTTTTCTCTCTCTTTTCTTTGTAAGCAGTGCTGTTGTTGGAGTAGATACATATCACTCTGTATATTTGATGCTTGCTTGGATTACATCTAATGTTTAGAAAAAGACAGAAGATGCGAATAAGTGCCCACTGAGTCCTTGGGCTTCTAATAAACTTAGCCCCTGATTGTAGCCGAATGGAGGGCTTTGCAGAAGCTGCTGCATAAGTGCCAGCATCTGAGCTTGCAGGCAAAGGCGAGTACTTCCGATTTAGTGAACGGGATTCACATTCACTGGAGGCTTCATTTGTACAGGTTTGTTATATCTCATGAAGTGCATTGCAGTTGTAGACTTTGAAGGCAAGTTAGTTTTTGTAAGGCTGTGGTGAAGACGAGCATAATCTCCAGGATTGGTTAAAGTGGAAATGATGTTGATTATCTCAGAGAAAATGAGGCAAACAATTTCACAATGATCAACTTGGTGTCACATGAACCGTTTCTTGTATGTTAGCTTCACCCCCTGCAGGTTAAGTCACGCCACAAACATTGGTCATGAACTAACTATTCGCGACGATCAATATCTAATTATGGGTAGTTCTGGATTATTTGTCAGAGAGAGGAAGAACTGCTGTCAGCATGGTCCAAAAAGTAGTTCAGCTCTCTCAGTGGTGCAAGCGACGGAAGAACAGACCAAAATGGTCCTGGTAGCATTAGTTTTGATTACGATCATGGGGAGAGCGTGGGAATACGATGTAAGAATGCTACCAAAGAAATGAATGTGACGTGAATCTCGCCTTTCACAACGAGATGCTATTGGTTCTCGTACAGCAAATTGAACAATGAGTATATTCAACTTCTAGGTGGATTATAAGCCATTGTTTCTGTTACTTGTAGATTGATCTTATGCGGCGCAGGTGTATCCCAGTCTACTGCAGAGGGGAGGATCCCCTCGTACTACGCGGTCACTGGTACTTACGGAATTGTAGACATGATTGGTTGCCATTTCAGGAAGTTATTGCTGAGCAGCTAGAAAACGCCTACCGTGAGAAGATACTGGATTTCGGGTTGCATTTATATGAGCCCCAATCTCTGGATGTGTTGCGTGCTACTCCATGTAGGCACACTCAGATAATGGATTAGAATGACGAGTCTCTTGATTTCTAACTGCATAGATATTGTGCCGTCTACAGTTTCAACCATCAGGATTGTATGCTGTCCGTGTCAATCTCACAACTATGGTTTGTTCCAAACCTACGAACGAATGGTGGTTTCTATGTTTTCGTGCTGCATTCGGGGGGATATGGTGTTACAATAAACCAAATGTGGGTTTTGTAGTACCAGGTCTTCACAAGCATGTGTGTGCAGAGTGGCATGGCAGTGACATGGCCTTCTAGAATAGTAGGAAACAAAGAAAATTTCATGTCAAATCAGGTGATATGCCTAAAAACTCGTTGACTGTATGTATCTGTTGTAGGGACTTCATGCACTTTTTATTGGAAAGGATGATAATTGGGAAGGAAGGTTTGTTATAGCTATCTTGGGTATCTCAACTATGTTTGGTTTTTAGGAAAGTGGAGTGAAGTTTTGGCATAGTTTTTCTACCTCCAACAAAGAAAATCCAACTCAATTGCCATTCAAGTCTATAGAAACAAATGATCTAGTTGTTTAGGCATTGATTCAAGTCCATAGAAACAAATGACCTAGTTGGTTAGGTATTGGTAGTGGTTAAAAAAATTCCATAAGATTGATGACAAAGAATCTATGATCTTAAAAAAATATCACATGATAGTACAAAGTTTATAATTGCCTTCCACATTAAAGGCCACCAAAAATATCTTAAGATTAATTCCAAAATCTTATTATATCAAAAATATCATGTAATTAGAAAATTATAATAAGTTTGTAATTTGAAAACATACTTGATTGAATTTGATTAAAAATTTGATTAACAATTTGAGGACATACTTAATTGAATTTGATTAAAAATGTTGAATCAACAATTAATGTTGATTTTATTGCTCAAAGATGAAATTATTCTAGTTTCTATTTCTTCTCATAGTATAAGAGTAGAAAGTTTGGAAATAACATCCAACAAACCTTATTGATTTCCTAACTTATAAGTGATATTGAATACAAACTTTGATAAATGCATGTTGCAATAAGCTTACAAACCATTAATAATGCATGTTGATATAAAATAATCAATATTTGTGTATTTTGTATAAATAATCATTTAATTAAAAGTGTCTTTTAGATAGTGTTGTCATTCTTAAAATGAATCCACAATTACAAGAAGATCTTTTTTGTAGATTTTGTAATTAATATCACCTACAAAAATATTTCTTGAATAAAAAATCATAAGGTGAATTTTATTTTTTTCTTCCGTTTATGATAATACTTCATCAAGATAAAGTATCATACATCTATTTCTATAAATAATGCCTTAAAAAATTTAATATAATATTAAATTAGTGCTCCAATAAAAATTATCTTTATTACTTGAAATGTTGCTTTAACTTCTTTATTGCACTTAGATTTGTCTTAAAAAATCAACTTATAAGTAGAGTAGCAAATTAATATTTTTTAAAATAAAATCTAATAATAATTAAAAAATATCAAAAATATATAATTTTTCTTATTATTCTTAGAATCTTTTAATCTATAATGGTCTAAACTTTCTTAAAATCTATCATAAGATCATCATTTTAAATGTTATGTTCTCAAAATCAACTTGAATTATATAAAATATATACTTTTCTATCTTAGCATACATTCTTACATCTCTAAGTTTATATAGCATATGACAAATATGAAATTTATGTTCTTTTATATTATAATGAATTAAAATAATAACTAGATAATAAACAATAAAATTATTTAAAAATTCAAAAAAACATCATGTATTAGATATTAAAAAATAGTCAATACATTTGTGAATCCAAATGGCATGAAATTATATTCAAAATGTCCATATTTAGTTTGCATTGTAGTCTTTTATTCATTTATTTTTATTTTTATTATGTACCAAGTTATATCCTCCTTATAGATTTATTATTATATCCTCTTTACTTCATTTAAGTAATCAAAAAGTATTAATATCAAAAATAAAAGACATCTATTTTTGATAATAATCTAATTAAGTGCTTGATAATTTCTACACATTTGGAATATATATAGATATATATATATATATATATATATATATATATATATATATATATATATATTACAATTAAAATAAGTATTTTTACTGAATATTTTTCATGGCATATAAAATTCTTATCCTAGTTTTTATAATTTTACTCTTTAAGTAAAATTAACTTATTTTTTGATAAGCTATAGATTGATTTAAATGGAAATTAAGTTCATTTTTAAAAAACAAATAAGAAATCAATAAAAGATGCTTTTGAAGAATATTCTTATTTTTCCTCTAAAAAAGTCTTAATAATCTTTACATTAGATTAGAATGTTGATTGAAGTCTTTGCACCATTTAAAATGAATAAAATACAAATAAAAAAATATGATCTTTTTTTATAGCATGAATGAAAGTTCTTGGATTTAAAAATAAAGATTTGGTTATACTAGATTTGTAACTTTTTATTTGATTAGCAATAGTATTTGTTATGCTATAGAAAAAATCAAGGTTACAAGTATCAAATCTATCTTAAGATTATATCTCTCCAGCTACAATAAACTTAAAATGATTAAAATAAAAAGAGATGTAATAATATTAAATATTATTATAATTAGTTATAACCAAATTTTATTATTTTTATAAGAATAACTTCATAAATAATAGCTCCAAAAGACAAAAGACCACCATCTTTATCTAATACATGTATAGTTTTTTTTTAAAATTAAAAATATATCATATCTTTTAACAAAGTCTTTATTTAGAAAATAAGCTAAAAATTCTAAATCTAATAAAGCAAAGGATTTGTAATTTTACATCCTAAACAAACATCTATTGTAAAAAAAGATAATAATTTTGAGGAGAAATTAAGACCTTTGTTAGGTATTGTACAAGATTTCAAATGCATGATTAATATTGTAGTTGAACAAACTTGTTTTTTTGACAAATTGTTTGCTTTAACAACCAAGCAAATTTTTTTGTAGATTTAGGATTTTTTTAGATAACATTTAATAGTGTGCTTATTTTTCCTTTAATAAAAGTACAATCCTTCTTGACTATGTGAAATATTTTCTTACTTAGTGGGAGGTTTATAACATATTGTATCAATTTATATATCTTCTATTTTCAAATATATATATTGAGACAATGTTAATATTGTCATTGAATTATAAATACATTAAAGTATAGTTATATGATTCACAAATTAAAATTTAAAGAGTTAATTGTTATATTTTACATCCAAAATAATTGCTTAATTCAATGATTAAGAATCATGTAATTAAAACATCAATTTTTGTATCTTATATTAAAAACCATAGAATAATTGTTTAATAAGTGCAACATCATTTTTTTTTATATAACTTATAATTTATCAAAATTTTGAAGCATATAATAATATTAATCAATTGCTTTGATGCAAAATATAAATTGCATCATATTCTTTATACATGGATTAAAATTTTGGAAAAATAGATTTTAAATTATTTAAAATTTGATTATGTCATTTAAAAAAAGGTAAAACAGTAATAAAGTTGAATCCAAAATAATGTTTAAATAAACCAAACTTTTAATCTTGGAATTAGATAACTTTGAGGTTGAAGCTCAATCACTAATTGTACTTGATTAATAAATCTTAAAAACTTAGATCTTTAATTATCAAACTTCTTTAGCAAAAAAACTCTCAATTCTCTAATATTTGAATAATATTCCAATAAAATAGAAGTAATATGTTTTAATTTAAATGTTGAAGCCATTCCAATCATCTTTATATCTTCATATCAAGTCAATCTTATTAATCTTTGTGGTGGAGAATTAGATTGATACATTACAAGTATTAATTCATTTTTTTGTTCTTATATTTATGCTATTGCATCTTTTATTTTGACAAGCTTTATCATTATAATATAAAAAAAAGAAAGATGTCTAATGCTACTTAGAAAAAAATATACAAGAGAATCAATAAATAAATAAAAATTTAAAAATAATATTAGTTTAGAAGTAGATAATCTATAACTTTTAGTATGCTTATATCTTATCAAAAGAAAAAGTAACCACTTATAATTAAAAAAAAATACAAAGCTTTAATATTATAAATATATTCTTATCAATATGTCAAAGATAATAACTCAAAAATTATATATAAAAAAGTGAAATTATTATGAAAGAGAAGAAAATTAAATAAATAAATAAATAAATTTATATTTAAGAATACATGATAATGGTTTTTATAAAAAATAATAAGACTAGGAATTCTTGAAATAAGGCTAAGAACAAGAAAGATATTGAGAAGAGCAAGGAAGGCCTCTTTCTTGCCTCCATATATATTATTTAAGTAAAATATAATATGACAATGTTCTATAGATCATTTGATATATGCCCAACTTGCAAGATATGTATCTAACTTGCAAAATGAGTTTATAATATAGGCACCACATGACCAACTTGCACATCAAAAAACCTACATGTGCAATGTCTAGCTTACTTATAAAGCAAGTGGTCAACATATGTGATACTTGGCTAATTTATTTTAACAATCTAAATGAATAATTTTTCAACATTAATATTTTTTTTTGCTACTTATTTTTTTTTTAAATTTATAAAAATTTTAGAAATAAATTCCACTATTAGCTCATAAAAAAGATTAAATCTAAAAAAAATATTATTATAAAAAATCAATATGTAGTGACTAATAGAATCATAAATACACTAACTTTATATAAATTTTAGTACTTTAAATGTGGATAAGATGATAAGACTAAGACCTTGAGGCTTTGCAAGACATTTTTTTATACTACTTGTAGCCTTTAATCATTAAGTTTTATTACTTGTATTTTTTAATTATGTTATTTTAATTTTTTATTTATTTACCAAAATATTTTAATTGATACAACCTTGTAGTATAGATTAAAGAATGAATTTTATCTTGATATAAGATTTAGCTTATTTAATACTAAAAAACACTTAATTCAATTATGTATGATTTTTTTTTTTTTTTTATGTGTCTCTTATTGAATCTGATAGTATGTTTAATACTTTGAAAAGAAAAAAATAATACTGTTTTTTGATTAAAAAAACCCAATTAAGAATTTAATATAAAATAAATCTTGAAATTAATTGTATTAACTCAAATTAAAATATCTTATATATTAGAATAGATATAATATTAAAAAATATACATAAGAATTATCTAAGTATTTATATATATATATATATATATATATATATATATATATATATTTAACTACATCCATTAAAACTAACAATTAATTATTAAAAATAAAAGATTTGAGTCACTAAGTTGAATTACTAGTTGTTTTAGAACAAAAATGTGCATTAAAAGTGTCAACATTGCAAGTATTAGGTGAAGATTAATTTAAAAGATTTAGAGATAGGAAAAATAGTATTAATAAAAAAATAATTAATATAAAAAATCTAATAGAAATTTTCATGTAGAAAGCATCAATTGAGCATCATTTTAATAGCTTAAAAGAATCTAAAATGAATTTAGAATATTTAAGATTATAATATTAGATAATTTATATATAGCCATCTTCATTATGAACTATGTTGAATAAGATATAATATATATTTAAAATTGATACAATCTAAAATTATACAAGATATAATACCAATACCATATTGATGATGTATTAATACAATATATATAGTATTATATAATATACAATGTATATGGTATTGTATCACATATGAGCTATAGATACATATGGTTAGATTGTGCATACCTAAATATCAAGTTGTTAGGATGTCAAAAGCAAGTATCAGACTTTTGCATCTAAATAGATGAGGCTTGTCTTCAAATTCAAGAAAAAGGTATCAATAAGAATCTAGAATCACCTTAGATCTTGCCTTTTCATTTATTTTTTTTAGAGAAGGAGGCTCCGACTTTCTTAATATGTGCTACTTAAGAGAATGTGTGTTGAATTGACGATAGCAATGTTGCAATTTTTTTTTTTTTTTTTTTTAATACTACATTTTTCATGTAGTCATTCTAGTAGTCAAGGCTCCTAATGTGGTGACGTTAGTTTTTTTTTTTTTTTTTTTTTAAATCAAGTTTTTGTGCTGCAACAACAGTTGTTTCAAGAAGAGACTTTTTAATTGAACTAAGCTGTGACATTGCTATAGTGGTGTAAAGAAAAAGGGTGGTGCTTTTTTTGTAAGTGGCAGTGTTGTGATGTAAGATGACTAATAAATAAAAGAAAAAAGAAAAAAAATTATGTTGTAGAAGATCTTATTTTAAAATATTATAGCAAATTATTCTAGAAAATATAAATAAGATTCAAAAGATAATAAAACTAAAGGATATTAATATTGCCTTCTTGCAAAATAGAATTCTATTTACTTTAAAAGACTATAAATAAGGTAAAACAAAGTAAATTAAATAATTAAATAATATAGGCATATATAGGAAAAAATTAAGAATAGATTTTAGCAAAATTTACCTCAAGAAGCTAAGAATTGATATCTAAAGAGAATTGGTTATCAACCTAGGTTGAAATCAAATTCCAAAGTACCATGCATATATGTAGTGACTCTAAGGTTCTTTGATAGATTAGATTGTAGAATTTGAGAGCAAACTTAAGAAGAGATTTTTGGAATAGTAGCATGGAAAGCCGACCCGGCGAAACGCCCGGCTCCTAATCTCAGTTCTCGAACGGTTGGGTGACCCACCAGCCTTGCCCGGTTGGGCCCCAGTCCCCTTTTCGGAAGCTCCTGAAGCGCGCGTTTGTTGTCTCACGGCGCCCGGTTGGCCTCCTCACCAGCTTGCCCTTGATTGGAAGTACCGTCGCTTGAGGTGCTATTCAGCGAACATCCGGGTGAATACGTGTTGGTCTTAGATCTTCTTGCGATGGGCGAGTATTTTGCCGTATTGAGGTGGAGAAAGTGAGTTTGGCGTTTGGTTTCTGTGAATTGTGAACAGTCGAATTGGTTTCTTCTCTCGGATGGACGTGGAGGATACGTAGGGCGGGAGATGGTGTGTGGAGTGGTGGATATTTCGTTGTTATTATAATGGTGATGGTGTGGGGAGGTGGCGAAAAATGCGAGGCCCCGGGAGATTGGAAGTCGTTAGAATTGTGTGATTTCGGACGATGTGTGTTGTGGTGCCTCCCGTACAGGTTACGATTCAGTTGAGAAGGTTTTGCTGGTGGTTGATTGCTTTTGGGAAATGTACAGCTCAGCTCGGAGAATTGAGAAAAAATCTCTTCTAATACACATGAATTGCAATTGCCTTCTGATACGATGCTCTGATCATTGTCAGGGGTTTTGCTCAAGGCTTTAGTAAGTTTAGGTTTGTTGTGCGGTATTTCGCGATAGGTTGCGGTGGGGTGTCAAAAGTAGTTACAATTGCTTAGGGAGTGGTGTTCGTCAAGTGACGTACTCTCAATGGCAGAGCCTGGTTTGTCTCCGTTGTCTCTATCGCCGTCATCCTCTCGGCCTACCGCGAGACCTGGAACTCCTAGTCGTGATTCTAGCGGAGGGCCTCCCCCTCTCCCTGCCAGCCCCTCAAAGAGTCCACCGAAGAGCTCTCCGTTAAAGAGTTCCTACTTAGGCTTGGATTCTAAGTATCCTACACAAAGAATAACCGGAGACTACCTACTGTCGGGTTCATTCCATGAAAGGCCGGCAGAGGTTTCCAATTCTAACCTGGCATCAAATGCAGCTGCTGATTCCTCATCAATTGCAGCACTTGATGCAAAAGTGAATCAAGAAAATTTGGAGCAGGAGATTATGCCTTCCTCGGCGGGCCTTGAAGCTAGAGTTGCATTGGAGCAGACAGCAGCTGCTGCGAAGTATGGTGCGCATACGAAAAGTGTTTCAGATGGTGCGGACGTCCGGTGGTACTTTTGCAAGACTCCACTCCGCCCTAATGGTATAACCTTCTTCATCCCGCCATCAATAGTTGTACGGAATGAGTTCACCTGCATGAACACCGTTGCTAGTACTGTCAATGAATCCACACTCCGAGGAGTGCATATCCCTATGTCAAGTTATTAAATAAGCTGTAGTCGTGATTGCAGCCCTCAGCTTTCCTGACGTAGCTGTTATTTCTCATCAACTGACATGCTGGCATCTTCCTTCGTCACATAACCATAAGACAAGAATTAGAGAATTGAATGGAACTGTGCTTTGGCGGTGGGCGTTCGCTGATTCTTGAGGGACTGTCAAAAATATTTTTGTGGGAATTTTAGTTTGTTCTATTTCTCAGTGTACTTTTTAAGCAGTGCTGTTGTGGGAGTAAATAAACATCACACATTATGTTTGATTCTTGTCCGAATTACAATGGATGTTAAGAAAAAGCTGGAATATGTGAATAAGTGCCCACTGAGTCCTTGGGCTTCTAATAAACCTATCCCCTTATTGTAGCTGAGTTGAGGCTTTGCAGAAGCTGCTGCACAAGTGCCAGCATCCGAGGTTGTAGGCAAAGGCGAGTACTTCCGATTTAGTCTACGGGATTCACTTTCACTGGAGGCTTCATTTGTACAGGTTTGTTATATCTCATGAAGTGCATTGCAGTTGTTAGATATTGAAGGCAAGTTAGGAGCATCGTTAGTTGTTGTAAGGCGGTGGTGAAGACGAGCTTTATCTCCAAGCTTGGTTAAAGTGGAAATGATGTTGATTATCTCAGAGTGGGTGAGGCAAACAATTTCACAGTTGTCAACTTGAAGTTACTTGAACAGTTGCTTCCATATTGCCAGCACCTACCGCAGGTTAAGTCACGCCACAAACTTTGGTCATGAACTAACTATTCGCGACGATCAATATCTAATTATGGGTAGTTCTGGATTATTTTTCAGAGAGAGGAAGAACTGGTGAAAGGATGGTGGAAGGAGTATGCAGAAGTCAGTGCCGGCCCGACAAAGTCTTCTGGTACCCTTCCCAATATCCTCCAAAGTGATAAGGGATCAACCGAAGAGAAGTTTGGATCAATTAGTAGTGCTAGCGATGGTAGAACAGGCCAAAAAGGTCCCGGTAGTACTAATTCCGATTACGATGACGATGAGGAGAGCGTGGGCGTGCTTGTCAAGGCCGGGTTATATGAGGTGATAATGGTGCTAAATACTTGAATGTGACGTACCTTGCTTTTCAAAACGAGCTGTTATTGGTTTTCGTACGTCGAATTGATTGTTGAGTACATGCTACTTTTAGTTGGATTATAGGCCATTGTTTCTGTTACTTTGTAGGTTGACCTTATGCGGCGGAGGTGTATCCCAGTCTACTGGAGAGGGGAGCATCGCCGCGTATTACGCGGTCACTGGTACGCACGGAAAGGTGGACTTGATTGGTTGCCACTTCGGGAAGATGTGGCTGAACAGCTAGAGATTGCTTACCATAAGAAGGTACTGGATTTCAGTGTTTTGCTCATGTGAGCACCAATCTCTGGATGTGTTGCGTGCTGCTCTATGTTGGTACACTTAGATGATGGACTAAAATGATTTGCCCCTTGGTTCTCAACTGTGTAGATATGGCGCCGTCGAAAGTTTCAACCATCAGGATTGTATGCTGCCCGTGTCAATCTCACTGGCACAACTATGGTTTGTTCATTACCCACGAGAGTTTGTTGGTTTCTATGTTTTCTGGCTGCATTTGGGGGGATATGGTGTTGCAATAAACCAACTGTGGTTTTCCTAGTACCAGGACTTCACAAGCATGTGTTTAGAGTGGCATGGCCTTAGAGAACAGTAGGATGCAAATCAAGTTTCACGACGAACTAGGTGATATTCCTTCAAACCTGTTGACCTTGTTTATTGGTCGCAGGGACTTCATGCGCTTTTTACGGGAGAGGATGACAACTGGGAAGCAACGCTTGGAGTAGATGCCTCAGGTATTTCAGCTATACTTGGTTTTCAAGGAAGTGGTGTGAAGCTTCGACGTGGTTTTGCTCCCCCAGACGGTGTAAATCAAACTCAGGTACTATCTGAGCCCACCCAATTTGAATCCCGCATGGAAACCAGCCATGGGATTTAATGTAGCCGTTAGTATAAAACACTGCAGAGGAACGTGACAAGGAGGTGTGTATGTCTTTGTTAGTAGGACGAGTCGTTGAATATAACTAAAATGTGAAGAGAGGTTTATGTCGATAACATTTGCAGTCCTAACGTATGTCAACTTCAATTTGCTTGTGTTAGTTAGTAACATTGAATGACTTGTTATACAGGACGAACTGAGGCAAAAAAAGGAGGAAGAGCTGGATGATTATGCTTCTCAGGTTTATATATGATTTGAACGAGCTTATCATCATATGCGTTTGTATGAGTACATTAAGATATATTGTTTCAAGAAATTTGTATTAGATTCATAATGGTATATGCACGACACGTCGGCCTAAGTTGGCTCAAGCAGAGGTTTTAAGAGAGGAATAAATTTGAAACGGTAAATTTTGTTGCATACCAGGTGCCGGTTCGCCACGTGGTGTTTATGGTGCATGGTATTGGACAACGACTCGAAAAGGCAAATTTGGTTGATGATGTTGGCGCTTTTCGGGAAACTGTTACAGCGCTGTCAGAGCAACATCTTACGCCACATCAACGTAATGCACAACGAATTTTATTTATACCGTGCCAGGTACGTTCATTTGTAAACGGTGATTTTTGTTCTTTAATAACGTACAAGTGAGTTTTTTCCAGTTTTAGGATGTATTCTATGCAAGTCAGATTGGTGATCTTCAGTAAGTTTTTATATGTGGTTGATGGCAGTGGAGGAGAGAGTTGAAGCTAGGTGGCGAGGTAGCTATGGAGCATGTCACTTTAGATGGTGTTCGTGCTCTTCGGACAATGATTACGAAAACTGTGCACGATGTTCTGTATTACATGAGCCCTGTTTACTGCCAGGATATTATTGATTCTGTACTATTCTACACTCTCAAGTGCTGTCTTGTGCTGCTGTTGGTTTTGGGTTTAGTAGTTGTCTAAGGAAGAGTTCAGGATAGCTCTCAACCTTCTGTCCACCTTCGTTGAAGTGATGCTTAGTTTCGAAGAAGGTGAATTTTTTCGAGTCTGACTGCTGTGGTATTGCAGGTCACTCGATCCCTAAATCGACTTTACGCCAGATTCATAAAGCGAAACCCAAGTTTTGATGGCAAGGTACTAATTGTTTGTATGCGCATCAATATGTTTACGCAATAAGTATTATCTTTTGGCCCTTAAATTCTTCTATTGGAACACGAAGACTAAATGTTAAGTACATCCACTGTACTTGTTCCTGCCTAAAAGTTTCGATATGGTGATTTATTGTATGTGCAGGTGTCACTGTATGGACACTCTCTGGGGAGCGTTCTAACTTATGATATTCTTTGTCATCAAGATACATTGAAATCCCCATTTCCAGTTCAAAGTATCAATGCTGCCATCACACGTAATGATTGTGAGGATGACATGCCGAAGATAGACCGCCTTCCTTCTAGGATAGAAAATGAGTTCATTCCTGAGGATGGGACTTCTGTTCCGGACTCATTGAGGTCGGCCAGTAACCCTAAAGAGTCTTCTGATATTATTTCTACCGCTATTTCAGCAAACGAACTTATACCAGAAGTAGAAGCAGTTGAAAATGAAGACGCTACAGCAGCTGAGGATGTCGCGTTAGAAGCACATAAGATTGGAAATATCGCAGTGTCAAATGAAGATACGGACGTTTTTCCGCGTAATATTTTCACTAGCAAAGTAGGTGATATGTTGGAAGATGAAATTGCTAAGGAGCATACCGAAATCTCAGAAGATGCAGGCGTTGTTAAATCACATTCAGAAATTTCAGAAGAGACAGGGGTTTCAAAATCGCTTTCAGAGATTTCAAAAGAGGCAGGTGTTGCAAAATCACACTCAGAAATCTCAGATGAGGATGACCTTGTAAAGAAGGATACAGAGATTTTGATGCAGGATGACGATACATTGGAGTATACACAAACCTTACACGAGCATGATAATGCACAGGAGCATGCTGATGCCTCAGAAGAATTTCAGGCTTTAGAGATGAAAAATTCTGAAAATGAGAATGAGGATGCTGGAGTGGATTCTAACATCATAGGGCGGGAGTCTTTACCGGACCTTGAGGGTGCAAACTTTGAAAATTACATATCTGATGCAGCCCAGAATGCGCGGCTTCAGGACACAGAGCAAGAAGCCGTGCAGGACATGGCGGGTGTTGAGGTTAAGAAAGTATCAGATGATTTTGATCAAGTGATGGTGAATTCTGTTGAAGACTACGAAGAGATACCTGAGATTGATAGATTAAAGGCAGAGGTATACTTTCGCACCTCATCAACAAGTTGAACTAAATTTCAGTTTCCTTGGATTGGTATCCTGTTGATGCATTTGTTAGTGATACCCTTCATATTCGTTTTAATGCATGCTTTGCGATTTTCATCAAGAGTGTCTTACCTTGTTTGGATACTTGGGCGTAGATTATTGCACATGTTTACGTCTTAACGATAAAGTGCATGACTCATAATTGGCAGGTATCTGCGCTAAAAGAAAAATTGAGGTTGATGGAGGTTGAAAATCGGGTTCACCATAAACAACAGGAGACCTCTTCTGAAAATAGAGAACGATTAGACCACTCCATATCGCGCAAAAATGAAAATCCGCAAGGTTCACCAGGTTCAGTTGAAGCCGGGAAAATGCACCATGGTTCTGGAGAAAATTGTTCCGAGTTGCGGCAAAGCACTCCAGATGTTGACTCCGAAAATGTAAAAGGGAAGTTGGAGCCAACTATTAGTGCTCGTAAACAACATCGGCCTTTCATCATTTATCCTAAACTCAAGTTCAAGGTACAACCTTTTGACGCTTTGAACTACCCCGAAGTAATAATTACCAATTATCTGTGACTGGGTTGTGTTGTATTTAGTGCTAATTATGTTATTGGGTGGAGCAGGTGGAAACGTTCTATGCAGTAGGATCTCCACTTGGAATGTTCTTAGCACTTCGCAATATACGCATTGGACTAGGAACAGGGACGGAGTACTGGCAAGATGAAGGCATTGATGAAGAAATGCCAGCCTGCCGCCTTTTACTGAATATTTTTCACCCCTATGATCCAGTAGCATATAGGTAAGCAATCTTGTCGTGATGTCGAACTTGATAAGAATTCTGAAGAGAAACTGCTCGACCATGTGCTGCAAGTGTCACTCACTGTCTCTACCCGTATGATTCAGGCTAGAGCCGCTTGTTTGTAAGGAGTTTGTCGACCAAAAACCTGTATTTATTCCTTATCATAAAGGAGGGAAACGCATTCATATTGGACTCCAGGTATTGAGCTCACTATTTGAATAGAGATGATTTTGGTGAGATAACGTTTTGTATGCATCGTGGACATAGGAAATAATTTACGCTTTGCGACATGTACATGAGAACACCATTAACTGATGACAATGAAATGGTGATCGATTTACAGGAGTTCGGTGAGGATATAAGCATGAAATCCAAGGCTTTCGTGAATACTATTAGTGCTGTTGGGGTGGGTTTATCTTATCATTTTATTTTATTTTGTTTTGTTCTGGGACATGTGTTTGTTTGTTCTTGCCCACGAAACAGTTCTACTTTCAAATCACCCTATTTTGGAAAGCATAGTTTCTTTGCGAGTACTAGCTGATGTAAATCACTTATTTTAATAATTCTGTTCGTTGGGATTGACAGACTCGAGTGGCTTACGCTTGTACTTCAAAGAAAGATGAGAGTTTGAGAGGTATTGAACTTTATTTACCAGTCGATGATTTTGCAGGGCTTTAGTTAATTGTTATTAATTTTAAAGCTTGGGGTTTTTTGAAGAAGTATGTTAGATACACCTGAATTCCTATTGACAGTAATATTACTGTTGGGTATGTGGATAATTCAACGTTACAGGGATGAGTTTTATGGTTGAGGATTTGTTTATCTAACTAAGACGGGTGGTTGATACTATTTTGGGTGGGTGTAGAGGAAGAGGAAAAAGAGAGAAATCGAAAGAAACCTAAAACTTATGGACAAATGGTCATGGAGCGTCTCACGGGAAGTGCAGAAGGGCGCATTGACTGCATGTTACAGGTATATAGTCTCAACGTATTCTGTTTGTAGATTTCGAAAGTCATCCGTTGGTGGTATGCACTAACACTATATTTATCTGATGCTGCAGGATGCCACATTTGAGCATCAGTATATATCTGCAATCAGTTCTCACACGTAAGTTGCTGTATTGGCTTTTGGTTTCGCTGGTAAGACCTGACATGTTTGGCATTGTATCATCCCAACGATTCTGACAGCAGTTGATGTGCATGGCAAATTGAATAAGCCAAGCGTTGTGTATTTTGGTGAAACAGATCCTATTGGCAAGACCAGGATACAGCCCTGTTTATTTTGAGGCATCTATACCGTGACATCCCTGAAAAACCAGAGTCTGAGGATGTTCCAACGATGGAAGCAATTGATGAAACGATTGATGATAGCAACGCTACGGTGAATTTGTCCCCTGTTCCAAGTGCGCAGGATGACTGGGACTCTGGTGATGATGACTCCTCTTCGCTTTTCTTCAGCAAGGAGGACTTCGTTGCTTTGTTGGAAACAGATCAAGCCAAATCCACCCCAAATCAGAAAGTGTAAATAATTGCGTACATACATTCACGTGCTAGTCCACACCATATGCTCTGTAGAATCATTATTAGATGCCCAAGATTGTGACCTAATTCATAGCTTGTTGTCCCAATGACCTCTGCAATTGAGACAACGATTATGTACGAACGTATCATGTAACATCTATGATTAAAGCTCGAGTTCGGTGTCGGGAGCCTAGTCTCCATGACACGTCAAAATCCTTATATTGTCATTTGGATCGTCCCATTTTTACTGGTCAACCTATCCGTAGTAACTGAGTGCACTTTGCTTTCCTTCCAATTTGTTAGATGTGTCTCCTGTTATTGTAACTCTGTCGCAGTCCTAAGTTCATCCTAATGTAGACTGACCTTTGTTGTGGTGAGTTTCTGTTTAATACGCAAATATTGTGATCTGGATAACAAAGCCATCTCACTAGAAACGTCAGGGTGTCCTTCGACCATTAGGTGGTGAACAACACGAGATGTCCCTTTGTGCCTTTCGTGCAAAGATCCAAAGTATGTAGGCTACGTCTTCCACGTTTGTCGCCCCTAAACAAACCGCAAATAATGAGGTGCTCTAAAGAGATTGAAAAATCATTACAGGCTTAGTCAGAATGGGCAGTGTCTGGAGAGGAGCCTGCCAGGTCCACATTTTTCTCATATAAAAAGGAATAAAGAAAAAAACAGAAGGCCTGGAAGTTGAGCTGACTTGGTGAACACCCAACTGGGTAGACGCTCTCAAGCTGTTCCCCAACTGCTATGCCACGTCTGGCAATGCGCTCTCTTACAGCAATTGCGTTTTTAAGGGGCTCCAGCGGAACCATTGTCCTTCCTGCCGAGCGACGCTTCGTAGCGGAGGAAGCTGTGACGTTGCTTCGCCCTCCGATCTTCGTCTCCCCGTCGCCAGGTCCGTTTCTTCTTCGTCTTCTTCCTCTTCTTCTGCATGCTTGCGCTACACGGTGGGCGCTGGTGGTAGGTATTCGAAGCTTTTGGTGAAATTTTTGAAATGTGTATTAAGGATCGGAAAGGGAGATTTCGGTTCGGGGTTTGAGAGCGAGTAGATCGGTGTCTTTTGGATCGACCTACGTGTGGCGTAGTGTGTGGCGAGCTTGAAATTGTCGGGGTGTCATGTTTGCGGTGCAGATTTGGAAACGGTGAGGGCATTTAGGGGTTCGGGAAGTGATGGTTTGAATGTACTTGAATGAGGACTGAGAGTTGGGAAACCCCGAACGCTATGTTTTTTCGCCAGGCTGGGGAGCGTCGAGTGTGTTAGGGTTGTGGTATATGTGGTGTGACGCAAGTTCTGTGGGATATGGTGCAGGCGATTGAGTTAGGATTGTGGATGTTGAGTAGGGTTTGGAGCTTTAGTGAAGCTGAATTGCAAGTGCGGAATGCGTGAGAGGCACGCAGAGAAAGGAGAACGTGTAGGTGCCGTCTTGCTACATGCTGCCTAAAAAGAGAGAGTCTGGGGAGGAGGCAGAGTTTGGAAAAAACAGCTTGAAAAGGAAGCGCGTGGAACCTTCCAGCGGCAGTGTAGTGTTGGGGAAGAACCGAGAGCTCGTCATGGCGCCCGACAGCAACATGGAAGTAGAGATCGATGAGGATCTTCACAGTCGGCAGCTCGCTGTATATGGCAGGGAGACTATGCGTCGTTTATTTGGGGCTCAGGTTCTCATCTCCGGTCTGCAGGGTCTCGGTGTTGAGATTGCCAAAAATGTGATTTTGGCGGGGGTGAAGTCGGTCACGCTGCATGATGCTGGAAATGTAGAGCTTTGGGATCTTTCTGCTCAATTCTATTTCACTGAGGAGGATGTAGGGAAGAACCGTGCTTTGGCATGCGCAGATAAGCTCAAGGAGCTGAACACGGCAGTTCTTGTCACCACCAGCACAGGTGATATTACGGAGCAACTTTTGTCAGCTCATTCGGTCGTTGTCTTCACCGACATAACGTTGGACAAGGCTATTGAGATCGACGAATTCTGTCATAGACGTGAGCCAGCCATCGCTTTTATCAAGGCAGACATAAGAGGGGTGTTTGGATCCGTTTTCTGTGACTTTGGACCATCTTTCACAGTTGTTGATGTCGATGGCGAAGAGCCTCACACGGGTATCATCGCATCCATTAGCAATGATAATCCTGCACTGGTCACGTGTGTGGACGATGAGCGGCTTGAATTGCAGGATGGGGACCTTGTTACATTCTCTGAAGTGCATGGCATGTCAGAGCTTAACGACGGAAGACCCCGGCGTGTCAAGGGCACAAGACCATACTCATTTTTATTGGAAGATGATACGACTGGTTACGGGGCTTATGAGAAGGGTGGAATTTTTACGCAGGTGAAGCTTCCTAAGGTGCTCAAATTCCAACCCCTGAGGGAGGCGTTAGACAATCCAGGGGAATTTTTACTCAGTGACTTTGCGAAGTTTGATCGACCCCCGTTGTTGCACTTAGCATTCCAGGCTTTAGATGCTTTTCGTGTCGAGGTAGGCCGCTTTCCTGCGCCTGCATCGGAGTCAGATGCAAACAAGTTGGTCGACATTGCACACCGAATAAATGAGGAGAAGCCCATCGATCAGAAACTAGACACAATTGATGGCAGTATTGTGAAACTTTTGGGGAGCGGATCTCGAGCAGTTTTGAGTCCTATGGCAGCAATGTTTGGAGGAATCGTTGGCCAGGAAGTTGTGAAAGCCTGCTCTGGAAAATTTCACCCTTTGTACCAATTCTTCTACTTCGATTCTGTGGAGTCGCTACCAGCGGAGCCATTGACACCAGAGGATGTGAAGCCTTTGAACTCACGATACGATGCACAGATCGCTGTATTTGGCTCCAAAGTTCAACAAAAGCTAGAACAGTCGAAATTATTTTTGGTTGGTGCTGGTGCTCTGGGTTGTGAATTTCTCAAGAACCTTGCGCTTATGGGAGTCTCATGTGGCCCGAAAGGAAACCTCACTGTAACGGATGACGATGTGATTGAGAAGAGTAACTTAAGCAGACAGTTTTTGTTTCGTGACTGGAACATAGGACAAGCGAAGTCGACAGTGGCTTCATCAGCGGCCATTGCAATCAACCCTTCCTTCAATGCAGTGGCGTTGCAGAACCGTGTCAGTCCTAATACAGAGAATGTCTTCGACGATACTTTCTGGGAAGGTCTCGACTTGGTAGTCAATGCTTTGGACAACGTTAATGCGAGGCTCTACATCGATTCTCGGTGCGTTTATTTCCAGAAGCCTCTCCTCGAGTCAGGAACTTTGGGCACAAAGTGCAACACACAGGTGGTAATTCCTAACCTGACAGAAAACTACGGCGCATCACGTGATCCTCCTGAGAAGCAAGCTCCCATGTGCACTGTACACTCATTCCCTCACAATATTGACCATTGCTTGACGTGGGCACGCTCGGAGTTTGAAGGTTTACTAGAGAAGACCCCGGCTGAGGCGAATGCGTTTTTATCTAAGCCTGAAGAATATAAGACTGCAGCGAAGAATGCAGGTGATGCTCAGGCCCGGGAACTTTTGGAGCGAGTTGTGGAATGCCTGGTCACGGAGCGCTGTGCCTCATTCGAAGAGTGCATTACATGGGCCAGGCTTAGGTTTGAAGACTATTTCTCGAACCGAGTTAAGCAACTCACATTTACGTTTCCAGAAGATGCGACCACCAGCAATGGATTGCCATTCTGGTCAGCTCCGAAGCGATTTCCCAAACCCCTGCAGTTCTTTTCATCTGATCCTTCCTGTCTCTCTTTTGTCGCTGCGGCAGCTATTCTGCGAGCTACTACGTTCGGTATCTCAGTGCCAGCGTGGGCCTTGGATGCGAGGAAACTGGCCGAAGCTGTAGACAAGGTTAAGGTGCCTGACTTTGCACCAAAGCAAGGCGTGAAAATTGTGACTGACGAGAAAGCCACTAGTATTAATTCCTCTAGCATGGACGATGATTACCAGATTGAGATGTTGATCAAAATTCTGGATGAGGGTGTCAAAAAACTACCTCCTGGTTTTAAAATGAATCCTGTGACGTTCGAGAAGGATGATGATACCAACTTTCACATGGATCTGATAGCAGGACTCGCCAACATGCGAGCACGAAATTACAGCGTACCTGAAGTGGATAGATTGAAGGCAAAGTTCATTGCTGGCCGCATCATTCCTGCCATAGCCACAACCACAGCTATGGCTACAGGACTCGTCTGCTTGGAATTGTACAAGGTTATACTAGGGCATAATGTCGAACGTTACAGGAACACCTTTGCTAACCTGGCACTTCCTTTGTTTTCAATGGCTGAGCCTGTACCTCCGAAGATGTTCACTCATCAAAATCTCAAGTGGTCTATCTGGGACCGTTGGGTTATTGCTGGGGATCTTACCCTAAAGGAATTATTGGAATGGTTTGGAGAAAGGGGCCTGACTGCGTACAGCATTTCTTGTGGCCAGTCTCTGTTGTACAACAATATATTTCCTAAGCATCGTGAGCGCATGGGAAAGAAGGTGGTGGACCTGGCAAGGGATATTGCCAAACTTGATATTCCGCCTAACCGCCGGCACTTCGACATAGTGGTTGCGTGTGAAGACGTCGATGGAAACGATCTTGATGTACCGTTGGTCTCCATTTGTTTCAGGTGAACTTAGGTTCCACTATTTCTATTTGTGGCTTGTTACATTTTCTACACATATCTCGAAATAGTCTGTTCATAGTTGTCCATCTTAGACGTACTTTGATGATATTCATGGTGGTTCTACAGCTGATCAAGCCCTAAACGCAAATGCCTCTGGGTCTCCTATTTTGTCGTTTTATAACAAGTTGACTGCATTACCCATTGACATTTCCATGTGAAATGTAACTGGAGGTTTCATTGCAACTGAAATTGCAGTGATGGCATAATTTCTTAGCCATCTTGACCATGTTTAATTGTGACTTGTATGTTTGGAATCACTGTAAGTTTCGATAATATGTCTAGGGGGTGATGGATTGTACGGCCCGGCCAATCCTAGGTTAGTGTACTGCCGCTGGTAGGTGCCAAAGTAATTGAAATCTTGTAATGAATTCTAAGTTGCATTAAGATTTCACATGTTTTCTTACGTCAGTCTTAACAGGTTGGTGTGATGAGTCTCGAACGAAACCTACTACACTTTCAACTGAGATTCACCAGAACTGCTAGAATTCTCAACAAATCACCCCATTGGGTTGAAAACAATGAGTTCTTGCTGGAAATGAATTATCCAAAAGTATTTGGTTTCTGTGAAGCTTCCAATCATATCACTACTTCGTCCAAAAATAATCCATTTTATATCCCACAAAGATGAGAACTCCGAGGGAAAAAAGGAACCTAATGGTTGAGTCGAACAAATGTATATCATGTCTCACAGTTTCTACATGTGACCACTACTTGGTATCTAAAACTCCATAATGGAAAATTACATTGCAAACAAATCCAAAGCAACCCCAATCCCACTCCTGCACAAGAATGTGACAAATCACGCCCTTCAATACCAAAACTAACATGCAAAATTGAATTATTCTTATCTGGAAGACCACAAATATTTCCTGAACCAATATAAATTGTGCTGAAGTAACCAAACTGCAAAAGTTATTCAAATTAGGACTTGTGTATGCTTCCATATGTGTACTTATTGATATCAATCTAATTACGAATATCCTAAGCACACCCAAAGATCTGCATTTATTATCCCTTGCTGAGAAAAGATCTGTTGGCTGCGATCTTTCCAAGACACAGAACAAGTAACCAAGTGCTGTGTGCCCACTGCAAAAACTCCCAAAACAGTTTATCTCTCACCACTGCATGCATGCACAAAAGGACCTTAAGATATTCCCTAGAATGGGAAATCTCCCATCCCTCCAGTATTAGATTGCATGCAGGCATATTTTGAACTGTAGTCTCATCTCAAAATGGTTAAGCCAACACACAACGACAAGCCAGCAGTCATAGCATTTGTTGTACTTCCAGCCCCCTTAGCACCAGACATTGCAGAGACAAAATTATCAATGAGCAGCTGGCACATTTCCTATATATATATATATATATATATAATATTATATATTTCTTCACTATCTCTCCACCAAATCACATCCAGTGTTAATTTTCATGTGTTGTTAACCATGGACTTAACCGAGCTTATGAAGTGTGATCAAGTTAGGCCTTCAAAAGAAAATAAAATTGAACAGATCAAACTTGAACATTGCAACATTTGGTAATTCTTTTAAGTGCCATGAAACATATGTCTTTTTATCACATGTTTGTATTTTTATATGAGTGCTGAAGGTGAGTCCTTGATACTTTACCATCCCAACTCAAAAATGCATGTCTCACAACCATACTCTTCAACTCTGAAAAGGAGGTTGTCTTTTACCTATATTCATACCTCTAAATTTCACAATAATTGTAATTGGATGTATTTAGTACATATTATATTCCAAAAAATGTCAACCAAAATCCTTGTATGTAAAGTTGAGTTCCCAAACAAGGCACTTACATGTCAAGGCCTGTGAAATAATCTATAATTTAACAATGAAATCAAAATTCTCAACCTAATAATTTCTCTACCAAAAGATTACAATCACTAAAATACATTAGAATTTCTTGGGAACCATGTCCAAGAAATCCACCAAGTAGTCATGACTAAACCACTTGAGCCACAGAGTTAGAGGCACAGAAACCTAACTGGAGAAATAGCCCATGATAATATGTAGAACAACACTTAAAAAATAGAATAGCCCAAACAGGACTGGACACAATTCCCAATGTAGAGGATGCCGTCAACAGTTCCATGGACAGGCTCAGTTATTAACAAAAACATCAGAAAACCCACAAAGCTAAACCAGCAAAAACACTTCATATTGTAACACTGACTTGCACTTACAATACAAAAAAAAAAAAAAATTGAAAATATTTATTTAGCACATGCTTTCTGAGTATCATGATCTCAAATGATTATAATCAACCAAGCCTTTTGGGGATCAAGTGTTGATGGTTGAATTCAATTGGTTAATTGGAGAAACTTCATTTAAGATTGTGATAGTGTAGATATTGCTTCGAAGGTATACAGGACACAATATATTGAAATTACCTTTGTATCCTTTGTATTCAATTACTGCCTAAGTATTTACCACTTTTTTTTAGTGATTTAAGGGCTTTCTTTTTTGTTTTTATTTGGTCGTTTTTGGTTCACTTGTGGTAAATAATATATATATATATATATATATATATATATATTTATCCTTGCACTTGCATCAAAAATTGTTGATTCTAGTTTTAAATACTCTTAGAATAATACATCCATACTACTAATTTACATATAAGCAAAAGTCACTGGTAATAAGGTCAAGACACTAGTTACAATATTATATAACTTCTATGGCATTCTATAATAACTTCCATTTTTTTTTATTGTAATATTTTTTTGAGGATTTAAAAAAAAGAAAAAAAAGAAAAAAAAGAAAACATTCTACATCATAATAGACATTTTACATTGCATTTTTTCTAGGGCACCACTCACTATTAACTGAGAAATTTGCCATATATATTCTTATATATGGGAACAGAGTTGTCATATATATATATATATATATATGGGAACAGAGTTGTTAATGTCACACCTCAACTTTGTTAAAGCTACACCCTCCTTCCCACCTCATGATTCATTTTTGTACAAGTCCCGTGTCCACTCTGTTCCCATCCCATGTCCCCCGTTCCCCTACCCCAGCTCCACCACCCCTGCCTCACCTGAAGTTGATTGGGCAAAAATTTGGGACACCTATATTCACAAGATGAGCAATGGAACCGCCTCCAGCGTTGTGATTGGAGCGAATTATGACCTGAACTACACTAATTCATCTGCGACTCATTCTGCTCGAGAGTTTGACGAGGAGGCCATAGCAAAGCTTGTAGAGCTGGAGCTCAGCAGGTCAAAACTGGAAATCGAGTTCCAGCAGAATAGTGCATTCTCCAGAAACTCCTCCAAAGTGAAACCCTATGAGGTCGGCAGGTCCTGTAGTAAAACTGGTGGTATTCCCATGCTGTTAAGAAACGGTTCCAAGAGGTTTGCAGATGACTATTACTTCTCAAGGAATTGTTCCAGGAGAAAATCACGTGAAAATCCTTACACCGACAACAACTGGAAATCCGACGTAGCAGTGCATGAAACGGAGGCTGTCTCGAACGGTGGCTGCCATCATGATGTCCAAATCCAGCAGGACCAGGAGCATACGCTGGATTGTGAAACAGAATACTGGTCAGCAGAGGAGGAACCTTCGAGCTTCTCGTCCAAATCTATGCAATCAGAGTTCTGCGGTTATCCATCTCACCGCGTGACCAAGTAGTTACAAATCTGAGGATCATCGTGCGCAACCGATGCCAATTGAGTCGTAATGCAAAAACTCCGCTGTCGCTAGCAGGCCTCTCAGTTACCAGGAACGTGGTCGGTGCACGCTGCCGAAGCTGTGCGCGATCTTCACGTGTCACTGTCGAAGAAAAACTGGCTCTATATTCTTACTTGATGCGGTATCTTCTCCGCCTCAGCCATCGCTGCTGCGCTATTGAGACACTCTTGCTACTGGAGGTATCAATCTAATCAGAAAATCTACTCCAATTCCAAGTTTGATGTGTGTTGGGTGCAGTTCCTTAGAAAATTTCCTGCTCGTAATCCTTGCAGACAATGCGTAATTTAGTAATCGTTTAGTGCAGGTGGTGTCATGGCTTAGGATGTTCATCACCAGTGAAGCGGCCAAAATCTCACAATGTCAGCGATTAGACTAGATTCGGGCGAGACCTGAGTCATAGCCCGTCGTGATCCTTCTCGCAAGGCCTGTGTGGATCCCTCTCTGATTGCCTTCATTAAATCCCTAATTGTGCTCCTTGACATGAACAAATATTTCGATTCCTCCGAATCATCAATTTATGCAGATCTGGTCTTTAAGAAAACCTACTGGGCACCCCATCTAATCACGCATTACTTGCAATAGCTTGCAACCCCATTCGTCTCTTTTAGTGTTAGTTCTTCCAATGACTGTTCCATGATTTGAGGTGTCTTTCTTAGAAGCTGTAATTCCCCTAGTATTCTCTTGCGAGGAACTTATGCTGACGCTGAGTATCGCCGTAGCGCGAAGGCATTTGCGAGTTGTACTGGAAATCATTGAATCACCAGCTATCAAGTTGATAAAGGATCTTTTATGGATGGTTTACTTACTTTGAGACAGATCTAATCAAGTTCTTGTATATTTATGATCTGTGATGGCAACTGTCGAATTTTTGCTGAGCATGATGTTCTTGATATACTACATGACTTGGTGACGCAATGCAAGTGATTGTGTGGCTAGTAAACAATGACATGAGGCTTGATGGAAGATAAGTTTCTCATTGATGATCTGTTCGACACATGAAGGCGAAAATGAAATGCAAGCGAGTGCCAGTATGATTCTTCCTGGTTTGATATACTGCTAGCATGTGGGACCAGGGAGTGGGGTCGGAGAGAGTGAGCACGAGGTGGGGACAGGGCGGGTGGGGCGGGGTGTGGCCGGTTGGCGAGGTACGGGAACGGGGGACGTGGGATGGGAACGGGGTGGGGCGGGTGGGGCCGGTTGGCGAGGTACGGGAACGGAGGACGTGGGATGGGAACGGGGTGGGGCGGGTGGGGCCAGTTGGCGAGGTACGGGAACGGAGGACGTGGTTGGGAACGGGGTGGGGATAAAGGAATTTGTACAAAAATGAGTCATGAGGTGGGAAGGGGGTGTGGCTTTAACAAGTCCGTAAATATATATATATATATATATATATGTAGAAATTTTCTCTTTTAAAGGAATAAAAGTACATTCTTGGAAAGAATTATTATAAATTTAAGAGGTATACAAAAACATTTTGGATCTGTTTGGTGGTTTCTTATTCTAATTTCAAGTATAAGTAGAAAAAAAGTTCAAAGAAATATTGAAACCTTGAGATAATGAATAATTTGCAAAATAAATCCCTCCCATTAAATAAAAAAACAAAATTATTTATGTAATTCATTATTTTCCATGTATACACATTACTCCTTTGCAAAGTTTGAATTTGACTCTCATGAATTAAAAAGCTAATCTAGGATCAACATGATATAAGGAAGGGGATAATAGTGCATGCAAGAGGTATAATAGTGCATCCCTTAAGACACATTGTGGGGCACAAGCCTTACACAACTATTGCATCCCAAAGTGACTTTATAAAAGCACAAAGGATTTTACCCAGATGGATTCCACAGTTGTCCTGGACATTTTATCATTTTATTTTATTTTATTTTCATCTTTGGAATAAGCACCCGACATGGGATATGTTGCCTCTCTCTCTCTCTCTCTCTCTTGATGGATTCAACAACAAAAGATGCAACACAAGGGAGGAAGGATTTCGGAAAGAGATGGGAGGAGCAGCCAAGCCCACACAAAACACAGTACCCCCCTTCACCTCACCTCAGGTACACACTCCACAGCTTGCAATAAAACCCTAAACCAGGCAAAACCCACAAAACCATTGGAACCCACCTCTGAAAATGAGCAGCTGGAGCCTTGAGATGCGTGCTGCTGATGCATGGAATTACACAGCTGTGTTCATTTACACTTCATGACCAGAGAGTGAGAGAGTGAGAGAGAGTGAGAGAGTGTGAGTGGGTGAGTGAGTGAGAGCCCAGTTATGGGGCTCAGAAGAAAAAACAAAACACATGACTCACCCGTTTCCGTGGCACCTTTACTGTCACCCAACTTAACCTGAAGGGGGTTAATAATATATCAGTAAAGAGGAGGCCCATTCAACTACCATCCCCCCCTCCCCTCAAAGCATCTGGGTGAGGTCAAACCCACTTCGCTGGTTCCCATGGTTCAACAACACGGGGAACAGCGACAGAAGCCTTTTTTATATTTTTAGCGTGGTGGTGGGATTCTCAAAAATGAGACTTGAATGGGAGCGGGCGATTTAACGCTGCGAAATGCGGAGACCGGGTTTGCCTGTGGCAATGCGCGAGGGGGCTGATCACCGGAACTGGAGACTATGGTGGGGGGGGGGGCTCGGGGTGGCGGATCATCGGCGCGCAATGGGTAGGCGGGGCGGGTGGAGCGGCGGGCGTGGACTGAAAATCCGTCGCGTTTCTAGCTGACCTGCTCATGCGTCCCCTGCCAGTGGATCTACTACCCATCATTGCCGCGGCTCAATTCTAGCTCTCACAGCGATACGTTGCCGCTCTTGTAATCTGCCCGCGCGCCCCACGGCGTGCTTGGCTATGTGTGTTCGCGGCGGCGGAACAGCTCCCATGCACATTGAGCGTTTTTTCATGAATGTAATTGTGTGGAGAAATTGTCGACGCTGGTATTGAGCTTCGATAGTAGTTTGGTGTTCGGTATCTCCTTAGGTGTCTGCCTGTTGCGGAGTAAGGGAAACAACGGTTGGTTTGGAGTGGGTCTGCGGGTGCACGGTTGCTGGATCCTGGCTGTGTGAGTAGTGGCAGCCAGTTGGAGTAGAATTTTGGGATCGGTGTTGGTTTTCCTTAGCGATCTTGGACGAGTCGAGTTAGGTTTGTGGCGGGATTTGCACGAGTAGGGAGTGTATGATGGGAATTGCATTGTGTTGTTTGCCCGTGACGGGTTGCGTGCGGAGATATGAGTATGAGGCGGAATCTGAGCGTCGCGGCAGTTGGGGAGCTGCGCGCTGGAGAGCCTGCTGATACGGCGCTGAGCTCGAATTGCTGAAGATCAATCAACACGGCGACGGAGCGGATTGTGTTTTTTCAGAGGATGTGACGCCACGGCTGGTTCTGGCATTGTGCTTCAGAGACGTAATGCGACAGAGTTGCAGTTTTCTTTTTTCTTTTTTCTTTTTTTTATTCCCTTGTCCTTCAGAAACTTGATTTGGCAGTGGCGTAGAAGGAGAGCATTACGCAAGAACTGGAGTCAATACCTTATCGCCTGAAACGCCGGAATTTTAGAAGATGGATTTTGAAAGGGTCGGCTTTGTCGTTATCGTAGCGATCCTGTGTGGCGCTTGTATGAGTCCTTTTGCCGCTGCTCAAACTGGAGGTAAGGTTGTCAAATGAACTCCCACCTCATTTTTCTTGCCCTCTGCTCCCAATTCAACCGAAGAGCTTGTGGCGATGCAGTGTCGGCAATCAATTTACACACAATTCCCAGGAGCAAGTAGGATTGGGTCTTGATTGTTACTCTAGTGAATGAACAGTGAATGAGCAGGGGATCCTGTTCACAATTTTCACATGTTTGGTACTAAATCATCAATGGAGCTATTTGACTCATCACGAGGAATGCGCTATATCTTCCCTCAGGCCCATTTGCGATTCGGATAGCGTGTGGTTCCACAGTCGACTCAGTTGCAAACGAGACCGGCTACGCTTGGTCGAAAGACACTGGCTACTCAGGGGGAAAGGGTGCCGCTGCGCCTGCAACGAACCGAATTGCGGGACACCTGCACACACTTCGCTACTTCGAAAGCACAGATGGACCTCAGAGCTGCTACAACATTAGCGTCCCGAGTGGCCACTACTTGACGAGGTTTTGCCCGATTCGATGTCTGAAATCTGGTGGCGTCTGTTTCAGGCTGAAGTGCGTGTTTAACAGTTTGTGCTCTTGCCTTCAGGTTTTTCTTCACGTTTGGAGAAACTGATAATGCGGGACAGGAGCCAGTTTTTGAAGTTTCTGTAGAGGGAACGCTGGTGTATTCGTTGACGTCAGGGTGGAGTTCAATGGTCGACAACGAGTATGGAGACTCGCTCCTTCACATCACGGACGGAGCAGCGACGATTTGTTTTCATAGCTCGGGTCACGGGAACCCCGCCATTGGCTCACTCGAGATTTTACAATTATACGTGGATGCCTACAATATGGGATCATCGGCGAATTTGAATGTGGTTATGCGAACTATCAAGAGAGTGACAGCGGGCGCAGCGCAATCTGGATACGGCTCGCGGATGCACGCCGACGCGTGGGGTGGCGACCGCTACTGGGCCACAGACCAGACACTTTTCGCCCCCGGGTCTCCAATTGGTGTCCTGCGCACTGAAGCCAACATCAGCAACTTCGGTAATCCGCCGAACATTTACCCGCAAGCGATATACCAATCCGCGACCACGACGGAGCCATCGAACAAGCTCTCGTACATCGTTCCTGTCCAGCCGGGCCAGAACTACTCCATTTGGTTGCACTTCGCGGAGATTGCACCAGAGGTCACTGGTCCTGGTATGCGAGTGTTCAATGTGATGGCCAATGACGCTCTCCTGTTTCCAGCTGTTGACATCGTGAACATAACCGGATCGCCATTCCGAGCTCTCATCCTGAACAAGACGATCACGGCCGAGAGCAGAACCCTAACGATCAGCTTTGTTCCGCTTAAGGGGTCGGTTGCTGTGAACGCGTTTGAAGTCTTCCACGTTATTCCGCGCGAGTATGCTTCCTTTGACGAGAATGGTACTAAAACCAAGCCAATCTTTCCATCGGTTTCTTTTTGTTGTTTCACAACATGATTGCTTGTAGAAATCTTCTCATGATAATGGCCACTGGTGTCTGTTGGCCACAGTGTGGGCGCTTCAGGCTATCAAACAAAGCCAGAATTTACCTCCACGTTTGGGATGGAACGGAGACCCATGTGTTCCACCAGTGCATCCTTGGATTGGCGTGAAGTGTGTATTCGACGCTCTAGCCGGTGCTTGGTTCGTTTCCTCCCTGTGAGTAAGCTGTCTCCGATTGGCCGCGTGTCGTATTGTTAATGCAATCTTGACTTGAATCATTTGGCCGAAGTTTTTTCTATACACCCACTTGAGCAATTTCGAAGCTCCGGTTCCGACTTGTGATGGAATTTACTGAATGTACGTAAATGGCATGACCTCAGAGCTTTGGATCAGCAGGGCGTTGGAGGTGTGCTTGGTGACGCTTGGGTCGGCCTGCGGCAACTTCAATCGCTGTATGTGTGCTTCTCGTGTAGTCGTTGGGGTTTAGGGTTTAAGGCTGAGGGTCAGGCGCAAGATAGCACTGTTTGCGATTTCGTAGACGCAAAGTTTCATCATATGAGGTAGAAGCTGCTGAATCGTATACCTGGCATTGAGCAGAAATTTGAGCAAAAATCTGTTGGTTGGAGAGATTCCTTCGTCGTTCGGCAACATGAGCTCCCTTACCTCTTTGTGAGTACTTCAACGTCTGTTTTCACCTGGAGGACCTTCACATGCATTGTGATAGTTGGTGTCTTATTTTTGAACTGCTTCTATATTCAATACGTAGTAATCAATTACTCCGAGTTCTGCGACCTCCAGAGTAACTGATTCTTTGATCATTCATGACAGGGACCTCTCGCACAACCGTCTGAATGGATCTATTCCTTCCACTCTCGGTCAACTGGTTATCCTCAAAGAATTGTAAGCTTCCCTAACGAATGCCTATTTTGAAAAAGCTTTCTTATCTTTGAATGCAGTTATGGAGGTATGCCGCCGTCCATTCCTCATTAGGGGTGTTCGCCTTTTCAGGTTGCTGAATGACAATCTTCTAAGTGGAGAAGTGCCGCCGGCTTTGGGAGCGCTTCTAATCCGCGGTGCAAGCTTGAAGTATGGCTACATTCATTTCTTATGTGTGCGATCTTGTGTTTATCGATGCCAGCTGAATTTCCATATGAAAATGTTTTTATTCTTCACTCACTCCGGCAGCTCACGTGCATTCCGTTCTGTGCAGCGTTGCTAATAATCCTGGTCTTTGCGGCGTTGGAATAGGACCGTGCACGCATATGTCGGCCTCTGAGAAGTTAGCCCTTATATTATCGCTCGTTATCGGCTCTGCAATTCTTGCCTCCTGTGCCATGTTCCTCTGGATAAAGCACAAGGCCAGTTCCCGAGGTGCTCAACGATTACGTAAGTAAATGGGATTTGCTTCGTTCATTGATGACTGATGTGCTAGCTCAGAGTCTGGTGCAGTAAAACTGCTTATCTGTGAATTCAACGACCTGATTCGCTTTTGTATTGTGTTTCTTGGTTGCAGCCCGTGATGCGCCGTACGCCAAGGCACGCACAACGTTCGTGCGCGATGTGCAGATGGCCAGGAGCATGCTTCAGAATCATTTCAGCCGCCCCGCACCTACTTATACGGAAGCTACCCCCTTAAATCCTCATTGAACCAACGAGTAGGCCATTTACATAATTGAATTGAATTCAGCTGTAAATGCACTAGCGATTCGCTGTCATTAACAATTTGGTCCGGTGACAGTGCTCAAATGATCTGGCTCTGTCGCCTCTCATGTTCCAGCGAATCAATGCGCAAGGCTCGTCTCTTTCCTACCGGCAAACTTTCTCAGGTTTGTACATAACGAAATTCTTTCGCAAATTTAAGAAGTTTCTGATCAATCTCGCCTCATCCCTCGGAAGGAGACGGACGCATGTATGTGCTCTAGGTATCTTGCAGCGTACGTGTTTTCCTGACGTAGACAAACATTTCGATTTAAAATTTAAAATTTAAAAATATATATTTCTTTGTCTTAGAAGGCACAGAAAAATGTTAGAAGTTCTTACTTCTGCAGAAGAAGGAGAAATCAGTTTATTGAGAAATTTACACAAGTAAATGCATTCGTAACTTGTATGTGATTTCCACCGAGAAATCGCAAAGGTAATAATCACCTTCGCAGAATGTCTTGAATCAATCATTCCTTCACTCTTTGTGAGGATAAGAATGGACGTTTGTTGTGTACTCGTGGAGGTCTGGAAAGTTTTGCAACCATTTGTTGGCAAACCTCATCTCGCTCCATGCCTGAACATCGCAGCGGAATTTTGTCAGCTGGTGACACATCATTGTTATTTTGTGTTAGCGCTTCTCTCCTCTCGAACTCATGTCTTAGTTCATCGCTCGTCTCTGAGTACTTCTTCAAATCCAAAAATTCCACCACTAGATAGGCTTTAACCAGGAGTAGGGCTCCAGCAGCATCACTTGTACGAAGATCTTTCTGCCTGCACAACAGCGGACATGTCGAGAGAAATTAAGGTTTTACGTGTACTGAGTGCAGATGAGAGTTTTAAACCTCAGTCTATGAGATGACGCGACATATGTGATCTCGAAAAACCTAGAGGGAGCTGTTGCCTCAATTGCGATGTGCGGTGTGCGGTGTGCCTCCATAAAATGCCGCGGCAGGGAAAACAAAATTGTCATGGATGCCATAGTCACGGACTTCCCACGCTAGTCCAGAGGCGTGCCTACGCATCAATCTCCCAAGACCGGCATGCTTGAGTTTTCAATCACAGAAATTATAGGAACATGGAGAACTTGCAATCATAAGAACAAAATCCAGCCTTTCTTGCGAGTTATGTTTTGCGATGATGCTACCTTGAAGTCTGAATTGTCAAGCCATAATTTTTGCGTGCAAGCCGAAAACCACCAAAACTAAATCACACCCGATTGCAGTTATGCTTCACGACTTCACAGTACAGCCTAATTAAGTACACAGTACAAGAGATACTTCTTCCTCTGTTCTGACCATTCCCTGATATTCATGTGAATTAGTGTCAGACATGGACTGCGATTACCATTCTCTCAGTGAAGCATCAATGCTTTCAATGCAACTAAGGGCATTCTAATTCATCCTAGAAATTTGCATTGTCTGCAACGAATGTGGACACGCGGTTGTTGCATGCACAGTACTGCAGCCTCACTGATAAGGATCGCTCCTTCATCACTCTTTGCAGGTTTGTTTGAACGATACATTGCAAACAAAATGATCTTCGTCTAGAATAACTTTGGTCTCAGTTCGTACAGGCCACCATTAATGCATACATTCTGGTGTTCTTGCACTGGCCACAAATATATTCAAACCCCCAAGATGATGATGCTGAGTTACTGCCACATTTAGTACGAAATTCTACAGCACAATACCTTCCTATTTACTGTCAATTTTATGTTTTCTGCCAGGAAATGGGGTCTAGTTTTGATGTGGTAGCACTTGCAGGTACTGTACTGTGAAAGCAACCAGTATAGTTTTTCAAAAGGCCAGTATCAATACAGGTTTGGTAACATTCTCAAAGCTGACATTTGCTGGTAAGCTGTGTACAAAATACCATGTTGATACTGGCATGTTTGTCATGAAAGTTCCCTCAATTACTATGGTATCTCATTAACAATGGTGCTAAACAGTATATTTACTCAATGGATTTCATCAGGTTTCTGATGTTAGAAATAGACCGTGAAGCGTGTAGCCCCACCGGAGTAAGACTTTACTGTAAATTGCGCTGGTAAAGGTATCTCAAGATATGGTTGATGGCCTAAATGGTCGGTGGTCCAGTGACTGTGTTGGACTATGACTTGATCATTCATAGAATCAAACCCTATTCACTTTGTCTCTCTTTTCTTGTTTACTGTCTCTCTCCTATTTTGTCGCTATATTTTACCTCTGTGTGTATACTCTATTGTGGGTGTCGTCTGCCTCAATTGATGGCCTCTGCTCATCTAGCGGTTATAGTCTTTTCCTCGCAAATGTTGTGCTGTGGCTGTGTAAATCTCCAAGGTGACTTGTTCTTCAAATGTTTCTCTTGCTGCAAATGCTCTGGCAACGTCTTGGAATATGGTTGCCATGTGAGGTGCTGGATTTGTCATTTCCTTGATTATCTCTTCTCTTTGTTGTAGCTCCCTTGTTTCAGCTTTCGTCATTGTTGGCTCTTCCATAGAGTCTTGTTGGTTGTCTGTGGGTCTATTCATGAGTTCTTCCATCTTGAACATTAGGGATTTTTTGATGAAGGCTCTTGTTCTTGGACTTGATTGTTGTCTAATTTGGTTGGTAGTGACTCTACCAATACATAGGTTGAGAATTTCTTAATATTGCTTCAAGTATTGTAATTAAGTGTTGCGCTTAGGTTTTGGTTTTACAAAGTGCAAGGATAAATAATGTTTACTTGAGTTTTGTTGTGTGTTTGCTATTTGTTGTGCCAATTTTTTCCTTATCTCTAGTTGTTGTTCTTGCTTGGTTGTTGATTTTTTGTATGACTTCTACAAAAAAATTGTTCAATAGGATCTTCTAAATCTACATCAAGGTCTAGATCTATTTTCTCAAAGTTGTAAGAATTGCAGTCTTGTTGTGGAGATTATTAGATTGCAATTTCAAAAAAGATAGGTAGTGCATATATTGCTAGCCGTAGGAGTAGAAAGGCCTTTTGTGAAATTAATTTCTACTTTGGTTCTCTTCCTCATATAGTTGCAAAAACCTCACTTATAGTCCAAGATCTTATTGAAGGATTATTCCATTTCTTTCATTTTGACATTAGATTCTTTATGTTAGTATAGTTCTTTTCACACTTCCATACCTACTTATATAGTTGTTTTTCTAAGAATGTATAGAACTTTTCTCAAGTTAAAGGAGGTGTTGATTAATTCTTGGTTATATTTTTTTATTTGTATATTCCATATTAGTGTGCCTCTAAGTATCTCTTACGTTGTGTTGGAATTAATCTCTATGTTGTTAGTCTAAAAAAATATGATTTCAATCGTATCTTGTTTAACTATTTCATAGATTTTTATAATGATTATATTTCATATATAACATAGATTATAAAGATTGGCATATATTTGCAATTGGCTGAGCCTTGTTGAAGCTTTGGCAACCAGTAGATATCTATAGAATATATGCTTGAAGGACTTGATATTTGGACTATTACATAGTTTATATGTATTCTCGCAACTTATCTTGTAATGTCATTTTCTAATTAGTAGGGTGGTTACTTATGTAAGCTAATGCATTCCTAAAATTTTCTTTGCCATCCATAGATCCTAGAGTTATTTGATAAGTAGTTTGTATTATCCTAGACTAAATTCCATACTTGCCATTTTTTTTTTAATTTTCTAGCATAATTGCTATTTAAGAATCTAGTCCTATCTTATAAACTAGTTTACTTATATATTCAAAGAACTTTATTTTTTTATATATGCCTTTCTTGCTCCACTCTCAGTCTTTAAGATTTTAAGGTAGTATAATAATAAGTATCTTGTCAAAAAACCAAACTTTTTTTAAAATTCAATGGCTAATGCATTAGATTGTATTATATGACGTAGTTGCTTATAGTAATAAGAATTATAGCATGTTCTAGAGGTCTAATAGGAATATATTCTTTTCTTGTATTTGTGATTTTTTTTGCTTATTCTAGTCAATGTTTGTTATCTAATAAAGAACTAGAATTTACTTAGATTATGTGATATATATATTAGATAAGGCCATATGATAATAAAATGATTTATTTGTCTAGTTTTGGTGGTCGTCAATGGTTAGAGCGTTAGAATATATTGTGGATTAATAGTACTAAGGTATATTGTAAAATAGTAGTTTTGTCAATATTACTTTTTCATATATAGTTGGATCCAAGATTTTAAGTCCATCATTGACTATAGTTTGAATCACATATTTTCAAGCTACTTTAGTTTTAATAGATTTTCCTATAGATGCTACTCAAAGTAGTTTTTGACCATGCCTTTGATTTGTTTGAATATACATTTATCTATGCAAGAGTAAGAAGAAAGATATCATATAGAAGCTAAAATGATCTAATTTATTATAAATATAATATTTATTAGGAATAGATTTTATTTATTCCAATAGATGAAACAATCGCTAATTTATTAAATAAGTTGGTTGTCAATTTTTTCCTTTTGCATTCTAAATCCAATAGAAAAGCATTTGTATTTGGTGTTCTTACCTTCTTCTAACCACATCAACTTAATGTTAGCTTATTATTTCTAGTGCTTTAGATTTAAAGCTATTCATATACCAATAGATTTTTTTCAATTAATTTTTGTTTCACTACATTCACAAAATATATTAAAAATATTCATGGTCATATTTTATTTTTTTTAGATATCAAGTTGGATATTTAGCAAACATCTAATTAGTAGCAATAATTTTATCTAATGAGATAAATCCATGAAGTCTTCTATTTGAGTCATTTAATATAATGCCTAAGATTTTTTCTACTATTAGATATAAATGAAGGACAAGCAAACAACCTTATCTTACATATCTTTATAATTCAAAAGATGTGCCTACTTGTCCATTAAGAAATACATTAGTATTGGCATATAAGTATAAGACTATTATCATTTTTATATATTGTATTGAAAATCCTAGTGATAGCATGGCATATTCTAGAAATTTCCATTAAACACAATCTTATGGCTTTTCAAAGTCTAAAAGAAGTATGATTAGTTCAAGTTGCTTACTTTAGTCTAGTATATGGTCTTGTCAAGGACATGAACTGAAAAATGATGCATAAACCAATAAAATCCGTGTCAAAGAAAAAGTGACAAAATAGAAATAAGAAAGTATATATATTAAAAAAAAAAACTAGAATGGCTTATTGCTAAAAGACAAGAAAACTTGAGACTCTTGAAACTGGATTAGAAATAAGAAAGGAGTTGATAAGAGTGAAAAGGACTTCATTCTTGTCTCTAAATATACTATCTAACTAGGGGCTATGTGCCAATGTTCTATAGGACCTCCAATATGTGTTGACTTTGTAGGATACATGCCTTGACTTACAAGGAAAGTTTTTCTACATGTAGGCCATATAATTAGCTTGGTCTTCAAGCTAACAATATGTGTGGTATATGGCCAACTTGTTGAATATATTTCTAATCCAAAAAGTCAATTATAGATACCTATAAAGTCAAAGAAACATCTATGAAGCTTCTAAGAAGCTATTATAGA